TCTAGGCCAGTAGTTCTCCTGAAGAATCCCCAGGAGGTATTTGTCTGGAGATGGCTCTTGGAACAGGAAGTTCTAGTAACATCTAATGATTCAAGTCCAGGAATCCTGAAAAAATCGTATAAGGTACCACAAAGAATTATCTGGCCATATGTCAATAGATATACTGATTAGTCATGAACAGTTCAGGTCTGATTGGATAATACATAATCTCTAATACATAAGCTCATCTTTCTATCTTTTGTTCTATCATCTCTACAAGTTTTTTGACATCACCAGTCAGAGAGAAGGGGGAAGAGTTGCAAGAAGGAATATATACCTCTTCCTTTTAAGGCATGACCCGAAAGCTGTAACATAAATGCTCACATCTTATTGCCCCACATATGCCACATAATTATCCTATTTATAAAAGATGCTGGCAAGTGCAGTATGTATTATTCTGGGTTGCTATGTGCCTGCCCCAAAAGTTTATTATTGAGTAAGAAGGAGAGGCAAAAACTGACATTCCCTGAATTATGATGGTTCAAGTTATGATTTTGTGATGGTATAAAAACAATAAAACATTCAGAAGAAACCATACTTCTAATGTTTTTCAAAATATGTATTATTATTGTTGACAGTATTACAGATATCTCCCAACCTCTCCTCTATTTACCCCCCTAATCCCAGCATCTACTTAATCCCTAAGGTATTCACTCATCTATTGCCTGTGTCCATAGGCTATGCATATAAATATGTAAGTTCTGTGGTTTATCTTTTCTCATCCTCCCCCCAATCTATATTTCCAATTTTGATTTTTTTTCCAGACTAGTAATATTTGGTTTGATACTCCTGTAATTCTGGGCATTGGTAATGAGCTACAGCTCCTAGTCAGCTATGTGATCATAAGGATAAACTATCATTACTCTACATTGTACTGTGTTGCTACTATTTTTTGGATATTGTATTTTTTTGTTTGTTTTGTCTACTTTTTGTGTCCCCTGTTTCTTGTGGAAAGAATAACTCAATTACTCTTGAGATGAAACTCAAGATAATTGTCCAGCTGTGGCCTAATGAACATGTTTAAGGCAAGCAGGCTAAGCTATGATTTTTGGTAGGTTAGATGTATTAAATACATTTTTGACTTATGATAGTTTCTATTTACAATAGTTTTATCGGGAAGCAGTCCCATTGTAACTTGAGGAGCATTTGCAGTACTTTCTGCCAAAATGCTTTTTCTGGTTAGTAGATGGTATCTCCGGGTAAGTGTTGTATTTTTCTCATTTCTAGATCCCTAGAGTAATGACTAGGCCTAACACCTAGAACCCAGTAAGAAAGGCTTGCTGAATAAAGGGCTGTTACCCAGTCTTAGAAGGGACTTATTTTTGGAAGCCTGACCTCCATCTTCAGTCTCAAAAACTGTTGCAGGCACAAAACTACTTTATCCCTTGCCTTCCTTTTTAAATTTTTTTATTTATTTATTTTTAAATTATAGTTGACATGTAGTATTATATTCATTTCGGATGTACAGCTGAGTGATTAGGCATTTATATACTTTATGAAATAATCACCCCCAAAAATCTAGCACCTAACTTGTACCATATATAGACATCACAATATGATTGACTATATTCCCTATGCTATACTCTAAATCCCTGTGACTACTTTTTTATACTGGCAATTTGTACTTTTTAATCCTTTTCATCTATCTTCCCATACCCCCAATCCCTCTCCCATTTGGTGACTATCAGTTTGTTCTCTGTATTCATGGGTTCATTTCTGTTTTGTTTGTTTGTTTATTATTTATTTATTTTAAAGACTCCACATATAAGTGAAATTATATGGCATTTGTCTTCCGCTGTCTTATTTATTTCACTGAAGATAATACCTTCTAGGTTGATCCATGTTGTTGCAAATGGCAAGATTTCATTCTTTTTATGGTTATTACTAGACACCTGTTGCAGGAATATTTCTGCAAGACTTCCGGTGAGCTTCCCTCTCCCCCCACACTTCTCCCACTGCAGCGGGCAGGGCAGGGCAGGGTGAGGCAGGCGGGATGGGTGGGGTGGGCAGAACAAACAAAATTATTCGATTGTTTATATGCACCATAGCTTTTTTGTCCATTGAAATATTGATGGATACTTATGTTACTTCCTATCTTGACTAGTATAAATAATATTGCAATGAACACAGGGGTGCATATCTCTTTTCAAATTAGTGTTTTGGATTTCTTTGGATAAATACCCAGAAGTGGAAATGCTGGTTATATGATAGTTCTATTCTTAATTTTTTGAGGAAACTTCACACTGTATTCCATAGGGGCTGAAACAATCTGCATTCCCATCAACAGTGCATGAGGGTTCCCTTTCATCTACATTGTAACCAAAACTTGTTTATTAATTTATTGATGAGGTCCATTCTGACAGGTGTGTTGTGATATCTCCTTGTGGTTTTTGATTTTTATTTCCCTGATGATTAGTAATTTTGAGCATCTTTTTATGTGTCTGTTGGTCATTTGTATGTCCTTTTTATAGAAGTGTCTATGCATGTCCTCTGACCATTTTTTAATTTGACTGCTTGTTTTTTTTTATATTGAGTTATATGAGTTCTTTGTATATTTTCAATATTAATCCCTTATTGGATATAACATTTGCAAATATCTTCTCCCATTCAATAGGTTGCCTTTTTGTTTTTTTATGGTTTCTTTTGTGATGCAAAAGCTTTGTAGTCCCTTTTTTTTTTTTTTTTTTTGCTTTTGTTGTCCTTGCCCTAGAAGACAGGCCCAAAAATGAATATTGTTAAGACCAATGACAAATAACTTATTGCCTATTTTTTCTTCTAGGGTTTTTATGGTTTCAAGTCTTACATTTATTACTTGCCTTCTTCTTGTTTGCAAAGACACTAGCAGGACAGTTGTGTGAGTTTAATCATGAACTTATGTCACCCATCTCCCAAATATTTCTTGTTTTGAACGTCACCTTGAAATGCCTTTCCTTTTGTGCTCTCTCTAGCTAAAGAAGAACACTGCCGAAACCAGTTTGGCTCAGTGGATAGAGAGTCTGCTTGGGCACTTAAGGGTCCAGGGTTCGATTCCGGTCAAGGGCATGTACCTTGGTTGCGGGCATATCCCCAGTAGGGGGTGTGCAAGGGGCAGCTGATCGATGACTCTCTCTCATCAATGTTTCTAACTCTCTATCTCTTTCCCTTCCTCTCTGTACAAAATCAATAAAATATATTTTTTTAAAAAAGGAGGAACACAATAATAGCACAGAGTATCTCTTGGGGTTATGGTGAAGTTCTATCTGTTGGCTATGAGATAGCTATTTAGATCTCCTTGAAAGTGTAAATCAGGCATGATCACAGTCTGCCATTCTTCTTCAGGCCATTCATATTTACTTTATTTATCTCTAGCATAGCATGTTTTATTAAAATCATTCCAAACTTTATTTTTATTGTTACTTAATTGCTTATAATTTTACAAGTATGACAGACCTTTTAGCAGCTGGGGAGAAGAGGAGATAGCTGAGAGAGCTAATTTTGCCTGGGATAATCCTGAATCACCACACAATCTCTTTAGAGGCAAAGGAAGGGACTGCCTCTTGTTTTCACTTCACAAGCAGGCTTTCTTCATGTTGAATTCATAATAATGTGAATGATCTTGCCCATGTTCTCCTCTGGCTTTGGTTTCTTTGGTTTCAACCCATCTCTTATCTCACTGAGTCCTTTCAATTTTCCCTCTGGTTTTACAATCTTGTTCATTGTACACAACCATTTTCTGGCCACCACTTCCTAGTGTAATCACCAAAATGGAGACTCATAAAATAATTCCCAATGAACTAATTACTGTGCAGATATTTTCCCTATGACAGACAAAGCTGAGAACAGGAGCATGTTGCAAAGGAAGGATCCCCGGACTGAGTTTCAAAGTTTCAGTTCTAGCCTTGCCTTGTCATGAAGTGATCTTGGACATGTCCTTTCCCTCCTCTGTACTTCTGTTTTTCCATCTGCATAATATGAAAGAGTTAGATTGGGAAACTTCGGAAAGGCTTCTGGTTTTATTAATCTTTTACATTGGTAAAGTACTTTCACATATGTAATCTCAATGGTTTGAATGTGAGCTCTGAAATAAGCAAATCTAAGTATGAATCCAGGCCTACCACTTCCCAGGTATATGATCTGAGGTCAGTTATCTATCCTTTCTCTGATTCAAATTCTCTTGGCTAGCATTCTGCCAGGGAGAATAATGTTGTGGGGAGCAGAGCCTTTGTTTTCCAAGTCCAGCTTTGTTAGGGATTCAGGTGGCTACTTGGATTTTCTTTCCACGGTTTCAAGGAGGAAGAGGGAGGTGGAAGTAAAGTGTCAGCCTCGGGCATCTCCTTCTCCCCCAAGTTCCCAGGGGCAGTGTATATCCTACTCTCTTCTTTCCACAACCCAATCTCCCTTCATGGGGAAGAGATAGGAGTAGAGAAATTAAAAAGCATCATTCTGGTCCAGGTATCTGCTCTGTCTTGCCAAGTTAGCCAAGAAAAGGCAAATGACCTCTTTGTGCCTCAATTTCCTCTTTTGTAACAGAGGTTTAGGATTAGAGATCTGTAAGAGATCCATCTGGTTTGTGAAGTCTGGGGTTCTCCACTCATTGTCGTCTCCAACACTTCCAATCACATGTCCCTTGCTGCTTGCCAATTACTTCAATAGAATCTAACCTCTCCAGTCATCAGAGTGCTGCTCTCTCTGTCTGTTCCTACCCAGCCTGGCAAAAGCAGATTACGGTACCCAGCCTGGCAAAAGCAGATTACGGTATCCAGCCCTCACCTTCTGAACAGTCAGTAATCTCCTGTTCAGAAGGCTTGAGGCAAACTCCAGAACTGTTCTCCTTGGGGAGCACTTGCACTGACGTCTGTTTCCTCTCCCTGCCCAAAAAACCCCCCACATCCTTCCCGGATACTGTATCAAACTCAGGCCAAGAAGTCAGTCTGGGGGAGGGAACTTGTGAGCTCCTCAAAGGAGGAAAGGGAAATGCAGTTCCATCAGATGCCCCCTCCCTAGTACACTTTTGCGCTTACCCTTAGGGACACTCTCCTGGATAGCTGCACTAGCCTCTTCTGGGATCTTTCACTCAGCCCTCCAGCCTCCCTTTCCTGGTTTTTTCCTCCTTCCCCTCCCTCCCCCCACCTTTGTCCTGAACTTCCTTCCTCCAGAGACAAATGTTGCTGCCTCCTCTCAATAGGATTGCAGAAAGAAGTTGGGAGCTCATCAGAGAAGTTGAGCGGTACTTGTGACTCCCCCAGTTGCAGGTTCCGTGGGGCACTCTGAACCGGGACAGCGCACCTGCCACCAAAGGTGATCAGGGAATTGTGGACCTGGGGGGAGATAGGGTGTTAGGCAGAGAGCGAGAGTTCCTGGGAGACTGCCTAGACTGTGCTCCTCTCACAGAATAGCTCTGTAACTCTGAGGCTCGAGGAGAGGTCTCTGGGAAAGAGGGCGGCCCTAGGCTGAGAGAATAGCAAGAGAGGGGCCTGGAAGGGGCGGTAAGGTCGGAATTCAGAGTTGAGAAATCAGAGGTCACAGTTTAGATCCCTTACCTTAAATCCTTGATCCCCCACTCCCTGCTTTTTTCTTAGGAAGGAGGAGCGAAATAACTCAGTGGGGAGTGAGAGCCTGGCACTGCACTCTCTGCCCCACGATGTTTGCACCCCGCCATGGTCATGGTGCCCTGACCGTTTTGGCTTCCCACTTCCTGATCACCCTGCTCTGGACTCCAGGTAAGCGACTGGTCGCCTCACAGCTTACTGAGCGCTGCGTGTGGTGCTGGTGCTTCAATCTCTCAGCTCACGCTAAAGAAGTCAGGTCACGGGTGCCATAGAGAGAATAAGAGCTCAACAAAGGCCTGTGGCTTGTCAGGCGCACCTCTGAGCCAGTCCTGCAGCCAACTATAGCTGGAAGCTTTCTTGGTCAGCGGTGGGCTTCGAAGAGAAACAGTTCTGGATGCACGGAAATAGGAGGCCCCAGGGCGAGGGTGGCCAAGCCTGTGACAGGGAATTTTTGCGTGTAATGGTTGGTAGTTATTAGCTGATTTTTCTAACAGAGAATACACACTTGCTGCAAAAGACCTAGAAAAATTCCCTTCTGAGAGTGATATCTTCATTTATTCCAGGACATGTAGCATTGCATTTTCTCCTCTGTTGTACAGCCATAACTCTGCAGGTAGAGTCTCTAGGCAGAATGCAAAGTGTATTCTAAAATTTAAGTCCATAAATTGTGAGGAACTGATCAATTAAAGGGAAAATACACATTTGAAATCTTTCTCTGACCTTTGGAGAGTACTTCGAAAAAAAGAGAGGGACAGAGGATTCAACTGACTTTTTTTTTTTTTTTTTTTGGCTGTAGAGTTTTTTGTTTGTTTGTTTGTTTTCTCCCAAATATGTTGCCATTTATAATTCTTGAAGATGTCTGTCCCTAATATTTTAAAGTTATATTTTGAAAAAATCAGCAAAACAAAACCAGAGAAAGCCCTAACTAAACACAGCAGTCATTCTTTGGATCAGATTTGTAAACTTTCCTAAAAAAGAAAAGCAGGTGAAGTGACTGCTCTGGTAGATGGCACCTGCTGCCTTGGGTAGTGATTGCTTTTCCAGCCTGGAAACACAAGAGGATCCTCAACCTTTTGCCACATGGCCAAATGGTGGAAATTGCTAACAGGACTGTAATTAGCACCTTTCTGTAATTAGCTGCCTGTACTGGAGTCGAGATGGCTAACTTAGCAGCCTTTAGAACTCTTGTGACTGTAATGTATTCAGAAAATCTTAGAGCCAAACTTTCCATCCAAGATCCCGCAGCCATTTCCCAATGTGTATTTAGATTTGGACAAGGCAGTGGGCATTAGACACAACTGGAAAATCTTAATAGCTTATTTTTAGTTGTCATCTGCATTTTCCTCCATCATCCAGTTTTCAGTTTTTGGAAATGTAATACCCACTCCCATTCTTTCCAGGCTTTCTGTTGAACCTAAACTTTATATCACCGGTAAGAATCTGGAAGTGTATTGTATGTTCTTGGTCAAAGTATTTAAATTATTTGGACCTTTAGGGCTTCCAAAGGTCCATTGAGATAATTCCAACATAATGAGGATGATAATACATCATGTGTTAGTCATTAACAACTCTTTTTTGAGATACATGTGGTACAGTTCAAAGAGAGATGGGTATCTGAATAACTGGTCTTTAGTCTTGGCCCTAACACAAATACACTATGTTCCCTTATTCTCTTGAGCCATGGTTCTTTAATTGTAAATGAGAGGAAAAACTTGCATTTGGCTTCCACCCTTTTTGTCAAGAAGAAAGAAAATACCATATTAGAAAAAGTAAACCAAATATTGGTAGTAATATGACATTGCTATGGATTGGAGATGGAAAGAGAGCACCTTATTGCTGGAATTAGGTGTAAGTCTCCCAGCTAAAAGAATGGTTTCCCTGGGCACTGAGAAAACATGTGGATGCAAAGTAATGAATCACTGAAAATAGTCACTAAGTAGTCACAGAGATATCATATATCTAGAGACTGCCAGTTGTAGTCCTGTATTTCAAAAAGAAGGGAAAGTATTATAAAACCTCTGTTCTTGCTGTTGCTTTTTGTAAGAATATAGAATTATTTACAAGTTTATTTCCTAAACTCCTAGAAGATAAATCCATAATCATTAGAACTGGTGTTAGTTTATTGAAGATAGGATTGGCAGAATAATGCAGTTTCTTTTGCAGTATGATTCTGGAATTTAAACAAAGGGTGAATGCTGGAAAAATACAATACTAGGGTCTCCTGAGTAATTGAGTAAAGTCTCTTCTGGTAGAGAAATATGGAGATTAGACATAGGGGTTGTTGTAAATGTTTGGAATGGGCTCAGAACTGCTTATTAAGGGGTACACAAAATATGTTTTTAGAATGGATATGTCTGGAGGACAATTTCTAAAGAGGAAAAAAACACTAGGTGTTGGCTTCATTCTCTTCAATAATTTTGTGTTTGTGTAGGAAGACAATATTTGTGGCATGAGAAAATATTCAGTTAAAAGAAGGAAGATATGGTCAGTTATAAAATTGGTATTCAAAAGGGCATTGAGAGTGTTAATATAAATACAAGCTTGTAACTTTGGGTGTTCCTCCTCCAAAGAGGAAGGGGGAAATAAAACCTTTAAGAAAACAATTGGAAGACATGGCTTATAGATACATATTTGTGAAAAAGACAAAAGATAGGGATTTTTTGCACCTATATTGCTGACATACTCAATTTACAGGCAAGTAAAACACATATTTTTATTATAGATGATCTTAAAAACATAGTATTAAGACCTGGAAAAAAAAAAACCAGAAAGACTCAGAAAGGTTCTATTCTTTTCTTCACTGGTAAAACTATACCTGGTGTACTACAGCTTGATTTTGGACACCACATTCTCAAAGGGACACTGATAAGATGCAATGTTATTATACAAGATTAAATTGAATATATAAGGTCTTGAAAATTTTTCAGTTAAGGAACAAAAATAATGTAGTGACTTTTAGCTGGGAGAAGAAAAAGCTCTTTGAGATGGGGTGGGAAGTTGTATGAAAACTGTCTACAAGTGTTTGAAGGTCCATTTACACACAAGAATATTCCAACCATTTTAGCTGCTACAAATGAAATGGGCTAACTTGGGGGCCAGAGAGTCCCCTATTGCTGGGGATATTCAGAAAGGAGTAAAACATTACAAAGAATAAAGTTCCTACCTCTTCCCTGTAGTACTCATGTAGATATTTGAAGTTTTAAATCCTTTCTCTCTCTTAATCATCCTTCTCTGGATATAATAGAGGGGTTGACAAAAGTAGGTTTACAGGTATAATACAAATTAATAATACAATAATTATTAAATAACTAGAGGCCCAGTGTATAAAATTCATGCATGGGGGCGGGGGGTTCCCTCAGCCAAGCCTGCACTCTCTCCAATCCAAGACCCCTCAGGGAATGTCCAACTGCCGGTCTAGACCAGCAGTTGGACATCGCTCTCACAATCCTGGACTGCTGGCTCCTAATCGCTCACTTGCCTGCCTGGTCACCCCTAACTTCCCCCTGCTGCCAGCCAGGTTGCCCCCAACTGCCCCCTCCCTGCCAGCCTGGTTGCTCCTAATGCTCCCCCCCTGCCGACCTGGTCACCTCTTACAGCCCCCCTGCCCCAATCTGCTGGTCTGGTCCCCCCTAACTCTCCCCAGTCAGCCTAGTCACCCCTCACTGCTCCTCCCACCAGCCTAATTGCCCCCAAGTGCCCCTCCCTCCCCACTGGCTTGGTTGGCCCCAACTACTCCCTTCTACCAACCTGGTCATCCCCAATAGCCCCCCTCTGCTGGCCTGGTCAACCCCAACTGCCCCCCCACCAGCCTGGTCACCCCTCATGGCCCCCTCCTGATCTGGTCTCCCCACACAGCCTTCTTGTTCAGCCCTTTGGTCATCCCTCACTACCCCCCTGCCGGTCTGGTTGCCCCATGCAACCTGCTTGTTCAGTCATTTGGTCATCTCTCGGGCTGGCCCTGGTTACCTGAGCCTCAGGCAGCCCGGGGTAGCTGAGCAGCCACCATCCAAGGCTTGCCACCGCCTATGGCCAGCCCTGGGTAGCTGGGGGGCTGAAGGGACTGGGTGCTGCCATCTTGTGGCTGTGGGTGCCACCATCTTTGAGGGCATAACAGTCAATTAACATATTCTCTCTTTATTAGATAGGATAATAATATAAGAATAAACTCTGTGTTTTGTGTATGCACAATTGCAAACCTACTACTGCCCACTCCTGTATGTTAATGGCTTAATTAATTTAGGGAGAAAGAGGCTCCAACCAACAAATAAACAAAAAAGAAAATTTTATTATCTGGTGAAATTTTCACTCCATGCTAGGCTCTCTGGTAATGATGTGAAAGAGTAAAGATAAAAATGACTGGAAGAAGAGAGATCTTGGGAAAGCTCTGTGGGGGTCTCATATTTTCTATTTGTTATTAAAGGATTTTGTGATCCCTGGAAATAGCAGTTGCTACATATACATATAGTTGAAGTTTATTAAAATCCTAAGGCAAAAGAGAAGTTGTTAAGTAAAAGTATCTGAAACATGATCATAGAGATTTTATGAAGAAAACTTGTGGTGCCTGCAAGGGAAGGATACCACTATGTATCTGTCTCTCCACTATTTCAAAAGGTAGGTGTCATTTTCATGGTGGTACCCTGAACTATCTGAATCATAATGGCTCAGACACTGATCTCTAATTGGAAAATCAAGTATTTTCTATTAGTGAACCTAATGGACCTCTTCCCAAAAGGGAAAAAAGCTGGAATATTTAAGATCAAGCTAAAATTAAGTTCTTGGACTTACTTTCTTTTGTTTAGTGATACAAAAGGACAGGACACTGAATCTCTGAATGGCAGGTTGAGTGCGAGCAGAGGCTTGGTAATTGGGATAGTAAGGTTTTCAAAATCCATGATTTCTTTCTTGTATTTGATAGCTCCAGTCTCTCTGTTTGGAAGTCTTTGTCCAACTTTGTAGCAGTTCCTCAATTTGTATAGGCTTTCCTATTGTCCTCCCTCTCTGCCTTTTTGTACAATGCTCTTCACATCTCATGCACACAGTTCTTAGCATTCTGCATATCTTGTATGCAAAGCCAGCTCTTTGTATTTGACCTGGTGTTTTTGAAATCAGGTCAGACTGGTGTTTTTTTTTTTTGGTTTTTTTTTTTATTTTTTTGGGGGGGGGCTTCCCCA